TGTTTGTTGAGACAGTGTTTCTCTGTGGCTTTGGACTCTATCCTGGAACTAGCTCTCCAGGCTGGTCTCAAACACACAGAGATCTGCCTGCCTCTGCCTCCCGAGTGTTGGGACTAAAGGTGTGCCTTACACCGCCCGTCTTGTTTCTTTTTCTACTGCAATGATTTCCCTTAAATTATTTCACAGATGAAAATTCTTTTGTCTTTTCTTTTTTTATTAAGTGTATGACAGTTGGTCTGTACTAATATCTGACACTTGTGTACAGGTTCTGAAGATAGAAGAGAACATCAGGTCCCCAGGAGCTGGAGATACAGGCAGCTGTGAGCCTCCTGATATGGATGTTGGGGAGGGAATTAAGGCCTCCTGGAAGGACAAGGACACTTATCTGCTGACCATCCCTCAGGCCCCCAGTAAAGGTTTTAAGTCAGAACAAGCTCCTATTTCCTGAGTTAAACCTTTAGCTGTTGTTTCTCTGAGTGAGCCAGGCTCTGTGTGGAGCTGAGGCATGTTCTCTTTGGGTGGGGCATCCATTCCTGCTTCCAGGATCACTATCTTCATACAACTCCATGGTCATTTAAAAATGCCCCAGTCACCTGACTCCCCCAAACCCCCAGTGCTCCACCAAGACTCTCAGACAGGTTTGGTTGGGAGGAGCTTCAGGTATAGAAGTCTGGGAGGGAACTCTGCAGTGTCTGGCCTGGCAGGGTTCCTGGGTGGAGCTGCCTGGTGCAGGAGGAGGGACATTCAACAGCCATCCTGACACCAAATCCTAGGACTTGGTTACTTGCTTCTGCTGCAGCATTCAGATAAGCACCATGAAGAGGCTGCTGTGCTCTCTGCTCTCTGTCCTCAAAGTTTAAGAACTTTGGTTTAATTTTTGTTTCTCAATATATACTCTGTCCTGAAGCATAAATGTCCATCTTAAAACTAACAGGGGAGAGGATGGAGAACAGAATCAATGTGATCATTTAAGCTGCAGTGTGCAGAACTCACAAAGGATAAAGAGAAAGGGGAATGAAAGGCAAAGGCAGGCTTCCAGATCACCCTGCCATGGACAGGGTCAGGGTTAATAAGGAGAAAACAAACTGCAGCAACAGCAGGAAAATCAAGTCATGGAAGACACAGAATGTACAGATAGTTGGAAGTCCTGGTTTCCTTTATGTTGCTGTGATAAAGTCTCTGAGAAAATGATACAACTTGGAAGGATTTGTTTAGCTTTCTCTTCCAGGTCTGTCATTGGTAATCAAGGCAGGTACTCAAACAGGAGATTACAACAGAAAACATGGAGGAACTCTGTAGTTGGGTCACTCACGGACTCATACCTGAGAAGCTTCCTTATATGACCCAGGACACTTTCCTACAAAATGGTGTAACACACGAGTTTGTCTCCATTCAACATTTTAAAAAATCCTGCTGGGAATTTTAGTGCTATTTTTTGAATTTATAGATGACATTGAGGGATATGGAAGGTATTGAATCTTCTAATTCATCATTTTGAGTTATCTTTTCATATATTTAATTTTATTCATCATTGCCTTGAAGTTTTCTAGACAGAGCTCTGAATGTCTTTAATAAAGTGAACAGCAAAGTGCTCAAACATATATCTTGTTCAAGTACATTTAAGGAGAATATCTAAAATTCTTACATCTCAGTACAAGAGAATTAATGACTCATCCTAAAATGTGCAAAGGAATGTGTATTGATAAGGAGAATAATTAGAATGTAGCTGGGGATTGTGCTGGTTTAGTAATGTTGTAGTTGTAGATTCTCCCCCAAGATCCATGACTTTAGTAGTGGATGGAGGCCATTGCAGAAAACACAACCAGTCAAGATGCAGAGTGGTGGAGTCTCATCCCTATGGATATGTCTTCAATAAAACTCCTGCACCTAAGACTCAGGAAACACAGTAGAAGGTGGAAGGAGAGATGATAATAGTCAGAATGTCAGGGAGTTTGCTGTGAAATTGTGTCTCCTAAGATTGTCAGAAGCTACACACATGCAGACTCACCAACATGGCTGTCTAAACATGAGCTGAACAAGGACAACCATAGACATGTTAAGGTTATGTGGTAGTGTGCACAAGGCCTCGATCCTGGTTAATGAGCTACTGACAACTAAGGAATGCTGGTAGTGGGAGACACAGTTTTTTCCCCAAAGAAGAGTGTGCCAATTGGTTACCCAATACAGACTGGTCATCTTTGAAAGCATACATACAAGCAACACTGTACAGATGAGCACAATGTATTTATATATTTAGGAATAAGTATGTTTATGCCTGCATGTGTAACAATTAATGAAAGAAGATGCCATAAAGTTGACAGAGAGCAAGGAGGAGGATATAGGAAGTTTTAGAGGGGTGGAATGGTTATATCATAATCTCAAAAATAAAAGAAATTATAAAAGTGAAAGAAAAATAATGCTTATCGTTTAGCAAGCACCATCTATATAGTCTATATAAGGGGCCAATAAAATGTGACTCACATGAAATCCAAACATTTGCCTACTTTATAAGCTTTATTGTAAATACCAATCATTGTCATGTCCTTTTGTCTTATGACTGGCTTCTCTCATTCTCTAGAATAAAGTAATTTTAGGCACAATAGGAAGATAGGGAATCATAATGATGTAGGGAGAAAAGACTGGAAGTGGGGGAGAGAAAAATATGGTATAGCTGACCTCAACAAAGACATAGTCACTTTATATATAAAAAATACTGGAACCAGAAAAAGATTCAATGACTTTGGAATCCACAGTCTATGGTGGGAAACCTTCCTCAACCTTGATGCAGGAGGGAGGAGCTTTGTCCTGCCTCAACTTGACATGCCAGGCTTTGTGGTCTCCCCATGGAAGCCCTTAACCTTTCTGAGGAGTGGATGGGGGTTGGGTAAAAAGGATGTAGGAGGAGGGAACTGGAGGAAAGGAGGAAGGGGAAACTGTAGTTGGCATGTAAAATAAATAAAGAAGTTAAAAATAAAGCAAAATAGAAAAAATAAACCACAACGACAACAAAAGCAAGATTAGTAAGCCAGGGGAAGCAAGCCAGTGAGCAGCTTTCATGTATGTTTCCTGCCACTGTTCCAACTTGAATTCTTGACTTGGCTTACTTCAGTGATAGTCCATGATCACATATGTAAACCAAGTAAATAAATCATTTCCTCCCCCAATTGCTTCTGGTCATTGTATTTATTTACCTTAGCAATAGAAAGCAAACTAACTCAAACACCAGAAGAAGTAACCCATTCCTGGCATGGGCATTTTTATTTGTTAGCCTGTATTGTCCAGTAGATGTATTCTTGTCCCAGGGTAACTGCATTTTAAGTCTTTTTATGTATGTGTGTGTATAAGCTTCTAGAATGAAAAATAAATAAATCGGTGTTGTTCTTTAGTTTAAATTATAGGACTCCAAGGGATACGAACCAAGAGATTCATTAACAACTCAGAGTTTATTAAAGGGGGAAGCGGAGAAGAGGGGTGGAGAAGGGAGAGTGGGGAGGCAAAGAGAGAGAGTGGGGAGGGGGACAAATGGCAAGAGAGAGAACATGTGGAGGCACATGCTTAAAAGGGGGGAGCTTGCACATGCATACTGAGTCCTTATGCACCGCAGTAAAGAGTGAGGCAGCCATGATGTGGCCATGCAACGCAAGGCCCTTTGAGCTGCCTAAGTATCTGCCTGAATGCCAGTATGACCATCCCACCCATAGTCAGGGGACGGGGCCGCATAATTCCGAGGTTCCAACAATCAGTTATTTCTCTAGTCACATAATTATCATAATCAGAAGCACACAATAATTTTACAAATAGTGGGCTTGTTGTAATATTTTAGTATATGCCTTTGAAGTGACTTCCTCATATTCATCTTGCCCTCCCCTCTGTTGTCCTATTCCTTCCCCTCTCTTCTCTGTTGTAATTTAGGAAAAGCAGCACACAAGAGAAAGATGGCATGAGACAGGGTTCAAGCAGAGAAGATTTTTATTAGGGAAGGGGATCATAAAAAGGGGAAATGGGAAGGGGAGACCAGCCTCTGGAGATAGGAACAGCAGGAGAAAGGAAAGTGGGGGAGAGACAGAAAAGAGAAGGGAACAGACAGAGAGAGGAGTGAACAGACAGAGAGAGGGAGAGAAAGAGAGAGCGATTGGAGATGGGAAGGGACCTTTTAAAAGGGAACACTTAGTGGCTGCAGCTGAGGGCATATCCAGTCAAAACCTCAAGGACAGGCCAGTACAGATGCTTGAATACTAACACCCTCTCACCCTCCCCTTGCCCATTTGCATAACTTCTATTTTCAAACTTTCACTTTCCCTTTCCTTTCTTTTTTTGTTAGTTTTCACATATGAGAACAAAGATGTGTTGTTTGTCTCAACATGTCTGCTTTATTTTGCTTAACATCATGTCCTTCAATACCACCCGTTTTCCTGAAGATGGTGCCAGTTCATTTTTTCTTGTGGCTGATTATTACTCTGTTGTTTCAGGTACAATATTTTCTTCATTCATCAGTTGACAGGTGCTGTTCAGGTCTGCATTTTGGCAATAGTGAATGGTGCTGTCATAAACACCCATATGCAGGTGTCTCTCTTATACAGTGACATCAGTTCCCCTGGATAAACAACCATACCTGGTTTCAGCTGGATCATTTTTCTTTTTCTTTTCTTTTCTTTTCTTTTCTTTTTCTTTCCTCTCCTTTCCTTCTCTTCTTTCTCCCTCCCTCTCTGTATATTTCAGAAAATCCACACTGCTATTCTTGGTGGCTATATCAGCACACATTGCTACCAAAGATGTATAATAGTAGAATTGTATTGAAAGGATTTCTGATTCTCCGTGACAGTATTTTCAGTGACGCTAAATTTGAACAGAATGGGGAGGTGCTTCCTATGTCAGAAACAGCTTTAGACAAAGTGTTTGTGAGGGGAGGAGCCTGTTGAAAGCACTGAGTGCCTGTGAGGTTAGAGTCTGTGTTGTGGGGGAGAGAAAAGGCCACCTCCCCAAGCTTCAGCCTAGGAGGAATGGACAAGATCCTGAAAGCATCATTTGTAGTCCTAGCCCTTCACCCAGCCTGTGAGTCATGAAGGAGAAACCCCAGGACGGGGATTAATGTGGAGGCATGGGGAACTGGGGCAACAGTCAAAATCATGAATGCTGAAACCATCAAGAGAGCTACAGACCTGGAAATCTAACAACATTTGTTATTTCTCTACACAGGGGTGAGTGGCCAGCAGGGGAGACGTGACCAGCAGCAAGTGAGACAAAGTCCCCAATCTCTGACAGTCTGGGGAGGAGGGACTTCAGTTCTGAACTGCACTTATGAGAACAGTGCATTTGACTACTTCCCATGGTACAGGCAGTTCCCTGGAGAAGGCCCTGCGCTCCTGATAGCCATACTTTCAGTGTCTAATAAAATGGAAGATGGAAGATTCACAGTCTTCTTGAGTAAAAGGGACAAACAGCTCTCCTTGCACATCACAGATTCTCAGCCTGGAGACTCAGCCACCTACTTCTGTGCAGCAGGAACACAGTGCTCTCCAGGCACCTGCAGCCCACACCCAAACCTGCAGCTGAGTCTCCAGCAAAACCCTGCTGTGGGGCTGAGCCTGGCAGAGGTGCAGAGCAGCTTTCATTTGCAGGAGCAGGTGACTGGTGACACAGTGAATGTAAGAATTCGACTCATTCAGCCACAGACAGACCAAGGTGAAACCACTGCCTGCTTTTCCCCAGTCTCCCTTTGCTCCTCAGGCATGGCTGGAGGTTTACATCTATTTCCTTAACTAGTTAAGTTGAATTTTTACTGACTACTTATTAAGCATTGCATGCTGTGGTGCTCAAAGATGATCCATAGTCCGTAAGGCTAAGATTTCTTTATTCAGATAAACAGCAGCCCAAATGCAAGCCAGAGCATGCCCAGAGGCCGCAAGCTAGCGAGGCCAGAGAGAAGGGGTATCCATGTGTGTGCGGTCCCTTAAGAATTGTCCCCCATCATCTTTGACCTCCCCTGACCACACCCTCATGGCCGTGGCCAGGCTCACCTGTAGGAGCTACTAGGAGGTAGGGCTACAGTTTCTCCCTACAATTCCCCTTTTAGTCTAAAAGAGGATTAAAACTTAATAGTGTAAAACATCCAAAATTAACAATCATAAAGGTGAAATACAAGAAGATACAATAATCTGCTATTGTATATCCTAACTATGTCTGTTCTGGCTAAGCCCTAAAGTCATGTGGAAAGGGTGTCTAACTTGAACACCTCCTTTCAATCTTTTTCAATAAGAAAGTTATTCTTAACTACGATTAAAATACCCTAATAAACAATAATGGGGATCGGGGGCATAGCATCTTCTAAGTTATTTCCTGCTGAAATGGGACGATGGTAGCCCTGTGGGGTCCTGTGGGGAAAAAATGTTAGTATAGGGAAAGTCTCTAATGGGTTATCTCCAGTCCATGTTAGACGGGGTTCGCTTGATTGAAGATCTAGGTTGAAATCCTCAACTTGATTGAAGTCAGTACTCGAAGCTCTGGCTGGAGTTCAGTTGAAACAGAGTAAGTTGGATCCAGCGTTCTGATATGTGTATACAAGCCTATGGGGGACCAGACATTGCAATGTAGTAGTTTAAATAAGAATGACACCAATAGACTCATATATTTGAATTCTTAGTCACCAGAAACTTATCCTGTTTGGAAGGATTAAAAACGTGACACTTGGTAGGCTTTGAAGCTTCAAAATCCCCTTTAAAGCTGGGTATTAGTGGTGCATACCTTTAATCCCAGCACTCAGGAGGCAGAGGCAGGTGGATCTCTGTGAGTTTGAGGCCAGCCTGGTCTCCAGAGCAAGTGCCAGGATAGGCTCCAATGCTACACAGAAAACCCTGTCTTGAAAAAAAAATCCCCTTTAAAGCCCATATTCTCTCTCTCTCTCTCTCTCTCTCTCTCTCTCTCTCTCTCTCTCTGTGTCTTTTGTCTCTTTCCTGCCTTCACATAGGATATATGTCTCAGCTATTGTCCCAGTACTTGCCTGCATACCACCATGTTCCCCATCATGAAGGTAATATGCTGACTTTTGCTGACCTATGCATATCTGTGTCTGCTAGATCTGGGATCTGAGGACAGAGAAGAAAGGGAGTGACTACAGTCTAAAGATGTAGATGACCTTACATCAGTTTGAGTGTACTTTTACACACAGATGTAACAAGGAAAGAAATGATCCAAAGAAGGCTGTTTAAGTTCAGCAAAACATGAGCAGAAAAACATGTAAATAAATGCCAGTAAGCACATACTAAATATTAATGGGGCAACAACACCCTTTCCAAGATCTTTCTCAGGATCAATTTAACACAATTGCCTGGCATGTACTATAGACTATATTTGGTGAAGCCCAAAAGCAAGGCCAGAAAGCCACATCAAGGCCATATCAAGATTCAAAGTGCACTCCTCAGATTGTGTTCTATAATTTGTTCTGACATCCAAAAAGTGAAAGCATGTCTTAGTAATTTAATATAGATGTTTAACATAGGAAGCTTGAAATCACATCGAAGAACAATCCAGGTAACAAAATACACTTCAGTTAAAAAGCCCTCTGCATTTTCCCCCCTGGGGCTTCTCTCATGGTTCCCATTGTTCATCATGTACTTTCCTTTTCACTGTGTTTCAACAATAATAGACTAAACCTCTGAAACTGTAATCAAGTCCCAAATGAAATGTTTTCTTTTAATATGAATTCACTTTGTCATGGTATATCTTCACAGCAATAGAATAGTGACAAAGATATACCCTCCTCACTATCCCTAATCTCTGTTTTCTTGAATGACTGATTCCTTTGTGTGATTCCTTAAATAGTAAGCATTAAAGAGATTTCACATTTATTAACCTTTGTGTGTGTGTGCAGGCCCATGTGAGTATACACAAACATGTGTGTATACATGGGTGCATGCACCTGTATTCATGTGAAGGCAGAAGATGGTGTCCAATCACTCAAAGCTGGAGTTGCAGGTTTTACAGGGCACTCAGTTTATTAAACAGGTCATGAACTTCCATCTTTATGATTAAAAGCAAGTCCTTTTTTTACTGCTGAGCCACTGTTTACCAACATTAAGCTATTTCTTCACTAGGAAGTATTGTTTGTCTATTGACATCTCAAGGAAAGACAAGGCAGCATTTTGAATGAACTGTCCAGCCCAGTGCTCAAACGCAATGTGCTCAAAGCCCCATCTCAGAGGCTGTGTCTGTGCTGAATGGAGAGCATCCACCTGCTCTGTGGAAAACTAGAGTGGGTTCATAGCCCTGCCAACCTGAGCTCCCCAGGCTGCTGTGGCTCCCTGGTCTCCTGCTTAGCCACAGAGACTTCGGTCCAGGGCATGTGCTGCCTGTTGGCACTCAGCAGTAAGACGGGCAGAGGAGTACACCTCAGATCCCAGAAACTCTTAGCAAGACCTGGAGCTCTTTCAGAGACCTTGTCTGCACTTTCTCTTCTGATGGCTTTTGGTTCATTTCATTCACTGGGATAATGAGAGCAAATAAAAGATTAACAGCTACAGTCTAAAGGAGGTTACAGCTGTACCTAAATATTCAACCATGAGTCTATGTGGTGTTAACATGCCCCTACGTGATTTCAGGTTATATTTATTATGTACATGTAACAGGCTGGAGTCACAGAGAGGCCTGGCAAGATTATCATGAGATCCTCTTGTACATTAAATAACAAAAACACAGAATTTAACAGGTGAGACTGAGTACTTCAGGGCAAGGATAGAGATTCTTCTATGAAATGTAATAAATAGAGTTCCTTGTATGGTGACAACAGGACATCATCTGAATAAGACTTGATGTTGGACTTTTTTTACAAGATAATCTGGTTTTGTAAAAGTCAGTTTTTAATTAGAATAACCTCTCTCTCTCTCTCTCTCTCTCTCTCTCTCTCCCCGTGTGTGTGTCTGTGTGTGTGTGTGTGTGTGTGTGTGTGTGTGTGTGTGTGTGAACTAGTAATCAACACTGTGTATCTTCCTCTATTGCTTTCCTCCTTTATTCATGTATTTATTTGGTAGAGGTTCTCACTGACACCGAAGTTCACCAATTGCACAGCACTGACTGACTGCTGTGAACCCAGGGTTCTCCTGTCTGTTTCCCAGAGCTCTGACTGCAGGGGCTTCCACATCACTGGATCTTTATGTCGCCGCTGGAGATCAGCACATAGGTCCTCATGATTCACAGCAGGCAACTGACACACTAGCATCTCCTTAGCCTCTAAGGCTATTAATTTATTCCTGTTCACAGAACATAAGCAAATGGGGATCTTCCGGCATTCTGAGGGAATGCCTGTTATTCTTTTTCGCTGCAGCTGATGGATGTAAAGAAAGGAAACTACGGATGAACGACCCACGTGTAGTTTTTTACAGGAAGAGGGGGGAGGATGGAGTTGGATTGTCAGCCAACCGAAGAGGAGACAGAGAGAGACAGAGGTGGGGGCTGGACCTTTTAAAGGGGAGACTGCGCATGCTCACTGAGGTTTCACGCATGCGCAGATCCTCACACAAGCTGTACTGCGTGGCAGGTGAGTTGGTAACGACATAGTATGTTTTCCTGTGCGTGCCCTGCCCGTCGTTAGTGGGCAGGGTCAGCCAGGTGCATATCCTTACAATGACCTTCACCATGTGAGTTAAAAATAGCTCTGTTAACTGCAGAATTTATACAGACCCCAGTACTCAGTAATGGAGAAGATTGTTTCAGGCCCCAGTGTTTCACAGGGAAATTCACAGGTTTGTCAGTCTTTTTTTAAATTAAACTTTATTAGATAATGGATATAGAGATGTAGACACATAATAATGGTCTGTATGTAAGTGCATTAAAATGAGCATATGCCTCATAATGAATCTGACTTCCGGTCCTCATTTTCCCACTAAATAACACCCATGTGTGCCAAGCAGCTTCACCCTCAAGAAGACAGGTTTCCCCCATTCTCCCTTTTAAGTGCTGTTCCTTTTTAACTACTGGAAGACAGGAAGCAAGTAAAAGTTTGTGGTGACCCCCCTTTTTCTCTCTATACAAGGAACTTGTAGATTATGATCATGTAAAACCTCATTTCCTGCTTGAGGCAATGTAGGAAACAGAGCCAGTGCACAGGCAGTGTCAGGCGCTGAGACATCACACTGGAAGGAAGAGAAGACAATACTCATAGAAAGGGACATGGGCCACATGCCTCCCTGCAGCCTGCTGTGTGCGTTGGTGGCCTTGACCTTCTCTGGTAAGGATGTCTCACATTAGCTAAGGAAACTAAACAGGAAGCATTGCCCCAGGTGCATAGCAGCTCACATGGATGTGAGAGGGAACAGAGATCAGAGAGAAGCAAGCAGAATATGTCTTCAGTTAGGTTTGTCTTGGGCCTCATGGTGCCAAATTCCAACAGTGTTTTGTTCACTTTACCACAGAATAAGCTTTTTTCTTTCTTGTGATTGTTCTACAGGATCCATTTTAGGTCAGAAAGTGACTCAGGTTCAATCAACTGCAAGCTCACAGGAGGGAGAAGAAGTCAACCTGGACTGTTCATATGAGACAAGTCAGAACTTATATCACGTTTTGTGGTACAAGCAGCTTCTTAGTGGGGAGATGGTTTTCCTTATTCGCCAAATTTCTTTTTCTACTCAGAGTGAGAGGAGCGGCCGCTACTCTATCATCTTCCAGAAATCAGCCAAGTCCGTCAGCCTTGTCATTTCAGCCTCACAGATAGAAGATTCTGTGACATATTTCTGTGCACTTTGGGAACAGACTCACAGTGCTTGAAATGATAGCAGAAGCTGAACAAAAACTAGAGCTCCTTAAGCATAGCCTCTCCCAGGGAGCCCAGCTGGGAAGCACACCTGTACACCCAGACAAGAAGGTCTCAACTGTGGCTTCTTCATGTGTGGTCTGCAGCAGAAGTGTGTTTCTAAGTAAAACCTCATTTTATATAATTTAGAAACAGTCATAGTGAGTGGCTTTCTTTTAATACTTTGTCTTGAAAGTATTTCACTAAAAATAGATCACAGAAGGCATGTATAATATTTTCTATACCTGAGAATCTTGCACCACAATGTTTTAAAGTATTAGGTTTCTCTTAAAGTTGGTAACAGCACATACCTCAGGATAGGCATCTGAAAGAAGAAAGAACATAATTTCCTTCTGAACCTGAGAGAAGCAGAGCCATCATGAGTGAAGTAGTCAGAGATACATCATGAGGAGTTCACCCCATGAAACTGCTGAACGTTCCTGGGAAGTCCCTACAAACCATTACCTTTGTATCTGGTACTGAGCCTGAGATATTGAAGGTCAGCTAGACCAGAATAGGGAAGGACAGTTGCATGAAGGCAGCACCTGGTTGTGTTGATACATTTGGAAACACAGTGAGATTCATAAGGCAATTAGAATCTAGAATAATAAACCTCCCCCCTTTTCCCAATCTCTCTCAGTGAGAGAAATTCAGAAGAAGCCATGGTTTTTCCAATATGCTACACTTAGTTTTGACCCAAGATAAAGAAAATCTCTAGAAGTGAGTAGTAGAGAATTAATGGTAAATAGAGTTGGAACCTCATTGAAATCTTATGTGCCTGGGCCTCAATCTATTGAGGAACAAAGTCAGAAGACACATCCATCAGGTGTACAAAGCACAATGAATAAACACAAAATATGTGAGACAATCATCCTCCTAAACACAAAACTCCTCAGTCACAGACACCAAAGTGACTGGGACAGCTAAAATACAAGATAAAGACTTGGTGTTCTCCTTTGAAAGAACATGAATGACCCTTTATGGGAGTCAGGTAAGCAAAAGAACAATGTAAGAGACTCAAATTAAGGACTTGATAAGGAAATTATCCAAGTGAACAAAGTAATCAGAAATTGGACAAATATTTAAAGAAAAGGAAATCTTCATCAAGAAAATTGGGACTCTGAAAATGAACCAATCATAATTGTTAGAAGAAGAGGGCTCAATCAATCAATCAAACAGAAAACATCAGGAAGGTACAAGCAGAAGGCCGAAAGAGAAGGTTGAAACAGCAATATAATCATAAACACATAGAAAAATAATGAACATATCCTGACTTTCCTACAACTGTTGGCACATCAAAGAGAACAAACCCAGGAATCTGGGAGCAGAAGAAGGAACTGAGAAAATGTATGTAAACATAAACAGTTCATTCAATCAAAGGATAGCAGAAGAGCCTTCAAACTGAGTGAAAAATGGAGATTCAAACTAAAGAGCATTTATCCTAAACAGACGTGATCAGAGAAGAACTGCTCTTTGACAAGTAAGGAAATGATTAAGAAAAGAAAGCCAGGCTGTGCATGCCTTAAAAATCAGCATTCAAGAGCAGAGGCAGGTGTATCTCTGAGTTTGAGGTCTGCATGGTTTACAGATTGACTTCTAGGACAGCCAGGACTATACAGAGAAACCCTATCTCAAAAAGCAAAACAAGCAAACAAAAACCTCAAAAAGAATTACAAGGTAAAAAGCCAATTCACATTCAAACCAGAAACATCAGTCTAAAAGCCAAAATAGCATGCCATGGTATTTTTTTTAATGCCTGAAAGTAAATATTATCTACAAGGTTTACTATACTTGGCAAGTGATCTCTTCAATTCAATAGAGAAACAAAACCATTTCAACAAAAGCAAAAACAATTTGTAACAGTGCAGGCAATATTGCAGAAAATCCTTAGAGCAACACTATAAATGGAAGAACATGGTAGTCTCATCCATAAGGACATGGAAACAATGTATTTCATGAGAGGAAGTGAGAAAAGGAGGGGAGCCAGGAAGGAATAGATCATATCCAGTACAATCAACCAACAATCCCCTAATATGAACACAGAAGGAAGGAAAGAACAGTAATGAGCCATACAAGGAAAACATCCACCAACATAATTGTGGCAGACTGCAAGCTGCTATGAATAATCAAGTTAAAATTAAATGAATTCTTTCTTACTAAATTAAGCTGTATTGACCTGGTTAATCCACTCTACATCTTTAAGATGGAGAACTACATCAAGAGCAGGTGCTAATGTAAGTAGATATATTTCCTGATTAAAGTGCGGCATGGACCCTTAATAACAAGCATTACTGTAGAGTGACTGTGTGTAGGTATGTATTATTTTGGAGGAGGGTAGAATCAAGAAGTAGACACATGCTGGGATTGTCCCACTGAAAGTGCAGAAGAACAGACACCAGTACTACTTTGACATTAATCCAAGGAACCACTAAGAGCTGTGGGACGACACCAATGCAGCATGAACACAGGTGTCTCATGAGAAACAGGGATGGCATGTTCAACTGCATAATGATCAGACAATTTCTCCGAATGACATTAATATATTAAACAAATTGTATACAATACAAAATAAAAGGTTTCAACTCAAAACTAAAAGCCAGCTAACTAGCTGTTTTTAAAAACACTACCTGCTGTCTGTGTCTCCAAATAACACCTCCCATAAATAAGAACATCAAAAACATCCTCTGACAGTCAGAGGATGAGGATCAGCAGGCCAAGCAAATGAAAGCCGGAAACATAGCAAACCAAGCCTCATATCTGAGAAAGTAACTTCAGACCAAAGCTAGTCAGAGAGATGAAGAGAGCCACTACACAGCCACAGCGGTGAGCATTGTGCATGTGAGTGCACAGAGATTTAGAGTTGCTAGTTCAGCAAAATAAACACTAAAAGACACAAAATGATGCATGAGTTCCTAATCAGTAATGATCTGAGACTTCAATGACTCACCGTGACTTTAGCAAGCCCTTCTAAACTCAAAACCAGCAAGGTAACTTCAGAACTCAGGGGTTCTGCAAGGCTACCAATCTTATTTTGGCAGGAGAATCCCAAGCAGGCAAGGTAAGGCAACAGGCCTTTAGAGAACTAACTAAATCAAACAATGAACTGTTAACATGTGCAAATTTCATATTCTCTACTCTGTGAAACAAATACTTTGAGTTCATTAGATGTGATAGAAGCCAGTAAGGAAGATAATTTTAAAGAGCACAAAGAAAAATGAATAAATAACTCTAGCATTCTATGAACTCAATATTTTCTTCAATTGTCTGCGTTAAAAGTTACCCATGTTGGACTCAATGGCACCTCCCTGCAGTTTTGAGTGACCTGTGAGCCAAGGCAGAGGATTGCGAATCCAAGAGTCCTGCAGGCAAGAGCCACAGTACCTGTCTCTGCAATGTACATGTCTGAAACAGACTCAAATACCGAGTATGTTTATGAAACAACTCAGACAAAAATCAATACAAATCGTACAGCTCAGCTATATCACAAATCACACCCAATAATGAGTATATAAAAACACCCAACAATGTTTACTTCAAAGGGGAAGGAAATTTCAGACTGGCATATGTGGGCCATCTGTGTTCTTCTGAGATCCTTGTAAGATAGCTCTCATTTCGTTCTCTTGAGTGGTCCCTAATGTGTATGGTTACTTGTGGTGAGAGCAATGTCCCAGAGCAAGGTGGCTGGGTGTCTCAATGATGGTGACATTATTGGATGTATCGGATCCTAAGAGAATGGAGAAAATGATTCCAAGCCTAAATGCACATTGCCCAAGAATCAGCAGATCTAACATCTCTAACTCACCTGGTAGCAGTGCTCAGTGTCTCAGGACTCTTCTGTACTTCTGTGCTGTGAAAGACAAGGAGCCAGAGGGAAAGTTACCCAGGAGTAAATGGGACACATTTTCCAACCACGTCCTGTGTCCTTTGCCTTTGCCTTTTCTGTCCATAGTGCTGTCCTATCAAATCCCTGCATGGTGTAGCTCTGAACTTCCTGTAAGTCTTCACTCAAGTGCCTGTGAAGATTTGTCTAATTTTTTTTCCACTTCCTTCGTTGACAATCATGTTGTAGCATATTCCACATGTCGAAAAGATAAGTGGTTGTTTTAATTTTTTATTTGTAACTTAAATACTTTTATTGGTCTGAAAATTAGTATCCAGCTGAACTATTGAAGGAGATATGTGTGGACAAGAAAGCATAAGAGGTCCCCTGAGATACAAGTGTTTAGTCTCTAGAAGATATGTGAAGAGAAGTGGCTGGAAGGCCATGGTATGGTTATCTAAACAGGACCAATAGAAGAAAAACCTGGACCCCAAAGGCTACAAAAGACAAAACTCAGAACCAGGTTAATGAACTCCGAGCCCAGGAACTCTCCCATCCCAAAGAGACAAAGTTTTACTTTCTCTTCCTCTGAGGCTCATCTTCCTCCTTTCCCTGAATCGAGTCCTTTGTCTGTCACTGGGAATGTACTTTGCTAAACCCTAGATGACCACAAGCAGTCCTATTCTAGTCCCATGGCCAATGACATTCCTTCACACATGTATGTATAAAAAGACTAACATCTAGGATGAGAGAAAACATGCAATATTTGTCTTTGTCAGACTCAAACGGGAGTAGCTTTTGATGACATGTCTGCCACCTGACAACTAACTGAAGTATTTTGCTATTAAAGCTGAGTTTCTGTCTGCCCTCTAGTGCCTATGAATTAAATTGAGAGAAAGACTAGTTGCATCAGCACTATCCTAGTGATGTGAAGTCAGGGTCTGTGATAATCATGCCAGGCAGGCTTCATGCAGATAGATGTGGGGCTTGATTTACTGCTGTTAGATGTGAATCCACTAATGTAGATTCATGTAGGAGTGGAGCTTTGGGATGGAGATTCATTCCTGATGCACAGGGGTTTGGGATGGAGATTCATTCCTGATGCACAGGAGCCTTGGGATGGAGATTCATTCCTGATGCATTTAGGCTTTGGGA